AAAGGAAATATAATTTGATCAATAAAAAATATGTTTAGAACTCTTTGAAAATATGGTAAGCATAAAAAACCTAGTGTCTATGTTTTTATTATGCAACAGCTGTGATGTACTTTACTGTCAAGTGGAGTGGTAGATTGGCAAGAAGAGTTATAGACTGAGCTTTAAAACTCCTGCACTGTGATTCTCAGTACATTGCTGGAATGAGGTGGATTATCCACAAAATGCAATTTTTTGGAAATAGTTAGAATCTGGGTAGAAAGGAGGTTCAGGGTCAGACTGACAGACCACTCCTGTCTCACAAGTTTCAGGTACAATTCAAGTAAAATCACAACTGAGATCATTTTAATTCCTAAATATCCGGGTATTTAGGCATTGACCAGAAGTATATTTGTGATTATGGAGCCTATACAGAGCTACAGACCCTTAAAACAGAAGACAGGGGATTTGGGGAACTAAAAATAACTTATGAAATCGGTTTGTATGATTAAGTCTCTGTATGGATCAAAACATAAACTCCACTTTGATTACCAGCACAAGATTGGTTTGTACCTTTTTCTGTCTCTACTGGAATTCCCAGGAGTAATGACACAGGACTAACACTGGAGATTTTTTAGACCTTGGTAGGCTGCTATACAGATAGCCTGGCCTGCTTCTTTTCAGTGGTAGCCTGTCTACCCAGAGGAGCTATTATCCACTCAACTGATCACCTTCTGGGAGATGTCCAAGGCTGACTCATAGTTACTTGATAAAAGAGCCTGAAAGTTCATGAAGGGATTCAGTTCCAAGCAGCTCTCTCACAAATAGAAAAGGAAAGATTAGTGCATACTGGAAGACTCAAGTTCAAGAGAGAGGACTCTGACCAAATCTAAACTATTCAAGAGTGGTAAGAAACTGATTTAAAGAATCACATCAAAAGCATTTGGGGGGTCATCATGTTTGTCTGATGTGCCCTATCTTCTGCATAACAGATAGATGTCTGTAGAATAATAAATGTTTATTTCCTGTACTGTCTAAACAGGAAGTTTCTTTTTTATTTTTTTAAATACATATGCAAAGTCAGTGTTTACTTGTTTTGACTATTACATGTCGTTGAGGAAGAAAACTGAAAATGTGAAGCACCCAAAAGGGTGAACTGCTAAGAAATAAAGTACTTGAGCTACTGAGGAAACTACTAGAAACTACAATTGAAAAAAAAAAAGAATATAGAGCAGAGGAAGAGCCACCAAATAGTTACGGAGCTGTGCCTGGTTTTTGTCTTATTTCCTTATGTTTTTTACAGTCTTCTCAATAGGCAAAGACAAGTTGTGACTTTGCAAAATTACAATACTCAATTTACTAACAAAATTGATATGCACCAACTAGCCAGCATGAACTCCCAGATGTTCCTCAGGGGAATAAGCTGTGTTCAAAGTATTATTAGACAAAACAGTTGAATTCCCTGTAACAATGCTTAACAAAAGTGCTGTAAAAGGAGATTTTGAATAGGATTAACCTCAGAGATAATTTCAGAATCAGCAAACTATCCTGGAAAGATTATACAGAGACACATGCATATATGCAGCACTGGTCCTGGACTGCCACAGATACTACAGACCTAATTTTTAAAACTTTCATCACACTGAGTCCAGCAAGTGGTGCTTCCTTGTGTAAGAAGTCCCAAAGCAGGAATTATAGAATTGTGACCAGGGTGCACTAAATGCTTCATCGATCTGCACATGCCCACACACTGCCCATTGTTTCCCACTTACACGCTGCTGTGCTGCACAGCTTCACACAATACATCACAAACAAAATACTATTTCATAATCCTTCTTTTGTTAGTTTTAAAAAGAAGTGATAAAAATAAATTATCCTAAGCTGGGGCATTCAGGCCCTGAAAGGAGAAAGCATTGTGCTAGCTATGCTGGATCATATAAGCATTCCTCTTTTACAGTTGCTAGAAAAGATTTCTTTTTACTTCTTTCCTCAGCTTGCCATGTGAGCTTGCAAAGCTCAGGGTTTCAGAGAAATGTCTGCTGCTGTCCTACTTTGGGAAAAATTCTATATAGAAACATTTTCGACTATGGCACACTGCTGTACTAGCCTTCAATTTCAGATGCTGCTTTAGCTTGAGATGCAAATACAGCTATGGATCCCAGGTAACTGAGACAGGATAATTAAAACAAAGAGAGGAAAAACATGTACTACCAATGTTTTCCATGCAAAAAGCCATCAGCTACTGCATTAGGAAATGACACACTACACCATGCCATCAGTCCCAAGTTGTAGATTTCTAGGATACTTCTTTCACTGTCTGCAAGATTGGGGTGGAGGATAGGGCGAGGGAAGGAGGAGACTTTTCAAAGTCTCTCGATTAGAAATTCTTTGCATGCTTGCAAGAGGTTCCCCTAGAACGTGTCAAAAATCTTCTCAAGTGCAATATTGAAGCTGTATTCTTGGCTGCAATGTCAGCTTGTTAGAATAATTGAAATGTAGAGGGAAACTCATTAAGATGTCTTTTAATAACACCATTCCTTGCCTGGAGAAGCTGAGGTTTTGTCACATCACATTAACACCAAGCCTCTGCTGCTTCCAAGCCTTGGAGAAATTCTTCCAGAAGAAGCAAAAAGTTACTTTTCACAAACAAACTATTTTTATATAAATCTAGTTGATACACACACATGCACACACACATGCACATGCACATGCACACATGTACACGTGCAGTTATGCACAGATATGCACTCAAATGTGACCTCTGAATATGGAAATATAACATAGAGCTGAAAAGCTCCTCTCAAACCCAGAACATGGAGAGCATGCATAAGAGAGAATGAAAGACCCATCAAGGCATGTGCAATGTCTATAGAAAGTGTACGCTGCTATATAAGTCTCCTTATTAAAAAGACTTTTTTTTAGCTAGTGACAATGTTTCTGGTCTACCATAGTGATAAAATAATAGCCCAAATAAATTGAAGATGAATTCCTAAGGCAACCCTGTGATAATGTTAAATATTCATTAATTCAAGAATCCAGAAATTGATAAATAACTGTGCATCTTCACATTAACATGTTTGAACTTATTTTCCTTGTATTTTGGTTTTTCCGAAGTGGAAGAAAAAAGAACCATCAATTCTGCAGCAAGAGTGAGGCAGCAGTGGCCAGGTTGTGCATATCAGTATTATTAGAAAAATAGGCCTTAGTACCCTTAAAAAGCACTTGACCAATGGACAAAGAATGTGTGTTTATACAAACCATGTCTTTTCATACCTGTGCATGGAACACCGTTTGATGAGTGCACACACATTCAATGTCACCACTCTTTTACATGTGTGCTTACTGCAGAGTTGAATTAGCTCTGCAATAAAGCATCACTGTCTACATGTGTGCTCATATTAGGGTGCACTACACTAATTAACTCCACTGTAGGATAGTACTGTTTAGGAACATTACAATCCTATGATGGGGTAATTTACATGGCCACAATGCATGTGTAGACAGTGACTGTGGCTGTCTGGGGCATGAGTGTGCTACAGTGTGGGGGCTGCCTGCTGGCTAGCTCCATGCTGTAGCACCCTCATGCCCCAGCCAGCCCCAACACCACCTGATGCCACCACCTGGGGCCTGGGGCTGACCCCCTCAGGTTACCTGCCAGCCTAGGGCTGTTCCACCCCAGCTCAACATGCTGTGGTGCTAGGTGCACGTGAAGATGCTGCATCCAGGAGCAGCTGACTCCAGTGTGAACTGTGCCAGAGTTTATTCAGATGCACTAATTGCATGTGTAGATGTGCCCAAAGAGGCATAATACAGTGTTATTCAACTCTGTGTGTCTTGAAATTCAGGTCTGTTCTTTTCATGAGGGTAGCACAAAGTGTCTCATCATTCCATAGACCAGATAACTATCTACCCATGTAGAGCAGTGGTTAGCAATTTATGGCCTGCAGGCTGGAGCCATTTGATCTGGCCTATAGATGTGAGGCTTTGGCAGTGGAGGGCTTCAGCTTCAGGCATAGGCGCCAACTTTTATTTTTGCTGGGGTGGGAAGAGGTTAAGATGATAGACATGTGGAAAGTGTTATGCATCTCAGGTGACAGTGCTCTTCCTGAGTGGGGCCAGGGCCCTTGGGCCCTCATGTGCTGGCACCTCTGGCCATAGGTATTCTCCGTGTGCCAGCATGGGAAAAGACAGTGGTGGTGGCTGGGTCCTAGCTCCCTCTGTCCACCCACCTTTAACAAACTGGATTACTCTGGCTGTTCATTAATGCACCGTAATTACAGCGCATTAAGTTTAGTACCTGTAATAACAGGTACTAACAATGCAGCATAATTGGCGCTACTGACCATTAGCGCAGATGAACACTTTTTTGTGACATTAATGCTGAGAGACTAAATCTACTGCACATTAGCATTAGAATTAGTCTAATGCGCATTAAACACCTTGTGTAGACGTGCCCACTAAATCCTAAATAATAGCCATGAGCATTTTGTCTGAAACTAGAAAGACTGGAAGATTCTTTGATGCAAGAATACTACACCTGGAGACTAGGGCAGCAGGTTTTCAATGCTTCCTGCAGCCATGATGTGCTGGTAGTTCACCAGCTAGAGTGTCTAATGCTGGAATGCTGTTCTCTTCCACCTTTCCAGCAGTGCAAAACATGTCACAGATTGCACCAGCCAAATGAGCATAACTGAGAAGTACAGAACATCCTCAGCTGGCTTCGCTATAGTGGAAACATTATGGAGCCTGCAGAAACCCAGCAACAACAAAGATTTGCTTGGTACTTTCATCACCAAGCCTGTTTTGATTTTCCTTCCGACAGACAGCTACACATAATGTTCTTCTGTGACAGGTGACAGTCTTGTTGCATTAACAATTCTGCTCCAGATCATATTACTATTATTATCTATTTTCACAAGTATAATAGATAAGAAATGCTAAAAAATCCTGGCATTCAAAATGAAAGATTCTGATTATTCACTGAATGTTTCAAGCTGTGATAATATTAGATGACATGGAATTCAACCAGAAAAATGTTTTTCCATTTCTTTCACTGTGTGTGTGCATTACACCCCCCCACACCCCACTTCCCTACCTACAGCAACATTCATGCATTAACCTGCTGTGTATTTCACTAGTTTTAACCTAACTATTTTACAATCGTGGTAAGAGACAACAGGATGAGGCAGTGCCCTGCCAAGATATTTAGCCTTATCTTCCTAAGTCTCTTTAGGATTTCCCAGCACGTAGGCATATCAATGCATATGAACAATATATACTCACTGAGGACTCTGGGATTGTTCTTTGCTTCAATTGTTGTCAGACTGGCTGCTTCATTCTCTCTCTGCTAGAAGGGAAGAATGAGATTGGGTAAAGTATTTTGTTACTGTTCTTGGAAAAATAAATGTTTTTGCCAACCATAAGTTATTAAGCATTCCAATGCTTGATAATATATTTATATGGCTTTTGGAGCTCATCTCCTTTTATTACTATGTCTCAGATTTGGAGAGAGACATGTCCGTCTTCTCTTCATGGTTCTGTTGCCCAAGAACTGTATATCAGGCACTACTATAACATGAAAAAGCTATTGCTCCACAGAACATTACAGTGATAGAGTCAGCTTAGCATTGCTGAAAACAGTGATGCAGAAAGATAAGGCCTGTAGCAGATTTAAAAGAGAACAGCATCATACTATCACAAGTCCCATATCAGTGTCCCCATAGGAAAGGTTGTTATTTTTGCAAAACAACAGTTTGCATGATGTACTAACTTTCATTTCAAAGTGTTTTCCAAATTAAATGCAAACAGGGATCTGCAATGTAGCTAGTTGATTAGGAGAGATGGGGATGGAAAGGTGTTTGCGTTCCTCAGTTGTGTAAATGTGCTTGACAACATGGTGCAATAATTCAGGAGTGATCGAGGAGCCTAAATTTCTTTTGAAAAATGGCACTTAGGAGGATAAATTGCCACTGAGACATCTAGTGTACAGGAAGTGAAGAATACCCCCCGGCAGATATAACAGCAGAGTTAAAGTGGGCAGATTGTCATTGTACGATTTGGAATTTTGCTATGACAGCATCTCATCTTCCAACTCTTGCAAAACGTGCTGTACGGTATTTAACCACCAGTGGCCAGGTATTCAGTTTTATGTCTGAATCAAGACATAAATCCATGAAACTCTACTTTAGATCTCACTGTGATGTGCACAAGCAAGAAATATGTCCCCATAGACCTCTGGGAAACTGCTTAATAGTGACCAAGAAACAGATGTTGCCCTGGATTAAGTCAAAGTGTTAACTTAGTGCATTGATCCTGATGTAAACTTAAGACTGGGAGTTTAACTAGCACATGTCAAATCTTTCTTCATGCCCACTGAGGAGGGCAAGAGGCCCACCACACAAGGAGGGAGTTTGTTAATAGCCAGAAAGTGATCTACCAGGAAGTGTCCTGGCTGAGGAGTGGAACAACTTGGTACTACGATGGATGGGAAGGGGTCATATTACTCCATATTGGTGCCCTGCCACACATTTGAATTAAAGCTGGATAGAAGCTAGCTATAACATTGTTACATGTTTTCAAGCACTAACTTTGTGCTTTTTATAGCTGGACAGTCATTTTTATGGCATGATAACTACTTTGCATATGTGGCCACTCTAAACTTATTGTGTGATTACCAGTTAATTGTGTGATATATGTAATGTGTGACAGGGGCCTAGGACTCCACAAGAATGAAAGGGAGGTTCTTGATGGAGGCATTTTAAAGAGGAAATCTGGAAAACAACAGTAGGCTGCAACATTACTGGAATGGGGTTTTGGTGTTTTGTGGAGTTGAGGAACTATGCTGTTGTGGGACTCCTGGGTGCAACCTGCAGGCCACATCCTCTGAGGAAACGAGCAGTAGTAGAAGTGCTAACACATCCCAGCCCAAACATGACTGAACCTGGTCACAGGGTGAGAGTCTTTTTGTACCCTCAGTTCATCTACAAAAATGGTGCCTCCTGAAAGAACATTTTCCTAAAGTCTCTATCCCCTGCATATGGTATCTTAGATTCCTGCTTCTATTGAGAAGTCACAGGAAATGATACAACAATGATTATCATATTTGGCATTTTTCATGGGTGTGCTTGACCCTTCCTTAGACCTAGCAAATCTCTGGGAAAGAACCATTTGAGGAACACCAATCTAAGTATTCCCCTTGCCACCAACAGCTACTTAAGTAAATGGTATGGTAAATGCT